TTTAATTATATTTGATGCAATTAATATTTTATCTCTTGATATTGAATATTATAATCACAAAAAACCGCTGATGAAAATGTGCGGGGAACAGATTAGACCGAAATTAGAAGTCGATACAATGATGCCATTTCCACGTCGATAAAACTAACGCTACTCACAAAACCTGGTATGCTCAAATGTATATTTATTAAGTTTGATATATATACTGACAGAATGCCTTAATATGATTGCATTACAAGTATACCTTGCTAATCACTACCTTGCTTGGTGACCCACGTTCAAATTCTGCTGGAGTGCACACATTTCTCGAATATTCAGGCCGGTAGATGAAAATAAATTAATATAGTATCAAACAGAGCATCTATTGAAATCTGAGTATCCATTAAAATAACCTTTAAGCAATAAATTGAAATATATACATGTGTGTCTATATATATATATATATATATATATATATATATATATATATATATATATATATATATATATATATATATATTGCAAGGAATAGAAACAAATTATTTCCTAAAGGCATTATGAAAAATAAAAAAAAAAGAGATGATAACACTTACAGAACAGACCAACCGGTTTCGTTCCCAAGCTTATCAGAGTCGACTGGGAACAATTTAACAATTATTGCAATATATATTGACTCACACAAACACCCTACATACAATTAAAACATTAAAAAATGAAATGATTAATGGTATGAGGGGAAAAAAGTATATTTCAAACCGCGCGAATATGCACAGCACAAAGGGATAAAAAAATAATAATGGGGAGGGTGAGGGGAATGAATGATGAACACTAGAGTCTAATAACGTGAAACCCAAGGAGACAGTCATTATGCTTCCAAAGAGACGGCTCCCTGGACCGTACATCCAGAGACTCAAGTGCCCTCAAATGAAATGGAGAGTGCGTACTGGACAGTACAGTAAACCAATTCGGACTGAAGTTCTTCGCACAATCCCTGCAATTTATCAAATGTTCAGTGATCGCTGACCTGGAAGTATTGACCAGCTGGCTCTTACTGGCATCCGGATTAAGAACTCGCAATGGGACATGTTGCCTGATCCTACAATCTAAACGTTGGGAAGTCCTTCCTATGTAGTTGCTACCGCAACCACATTTAAAAGAATAAATCACGGAAGAAACTTGATGGGGAGGAAGAGGATTGTTACGCATAGAGGAAAAGGCAAACGAGTCGCAAAACGAATCCTTAGTTGAGCAGAAAAATAGCAGTGATGGACAGCGGACAAAACCCGCCTAGCCACAAGCTCGCCCCGGGAACCAATAAAAGGAAGCCGTAAGTAAATAGGACATTTCTGAACTAAGTATTTTTTTCCTTTCGAAAATTAATAATTTTATCACGCATGACACTGTCAAGAGTATGACTAGGATATCCATTTTTTAATAGAGTGCAGCGGATAAAATCCAATTCTTCATCCAAATATTGTTCACTGCAAATCATCAAGGCTCTATGAGTTAAGGTCTTGATCAGATTGATTTTACGCTTTCTGGGACAAGATGAGTCCCAACGCGTATACAAACCAGAAAACGTTGGTTTGCGAAACACCGAAGTAAGAAATTGAGAAGGAGTCCGATGCACAAGGACATCAAGAAAAGAGAGACAAGAATTAGACTCCTTTTCAATGGTAAATTTCAAAGATGGATGAAGTTGGTTCATAACTGTGAGAAAGGAATCAGCTTCCCCTTCGCTATTAAAAAGACAAAATGTATCGTCCACATACCGACAGTACATAGACGGTGCATTGGCATAAGTGAGGAGGGACGACTCATAAAAGCTCACAAAAATGTTGGCCAAAGCAGGACCCAAAGGGGAGCCCATAGCAACCCCATCAATCTGTCTGTACATGAAATTGTTAAAGCTAAACTCCACAGACATGGTAGCGAATTGCATAAGCTCAACAAACACATTTTCTGGGATATCCGGAGGTGACAAACTACTTCGATATAACATGTTACAACAAATATCAATAGTTTCCATTACTGGAACACAAATAAACAGAGAACATATGTCAAAGGAACACATAAATTTATTTTTAGAAGGAGTATCACGAATAACCTGAATAAACGAAAATGAATCTTTAATAGTATACGAGCTAAAATGTTCAACAAAAGGTTCACGGTCTGAAAGAAAACTCGCAACCTTATGTTGAGACGAGCCTGACATGGACAAGATGGGTCGAAGGGGTACATTATCCTTATGAGTCTTCAGAAGACCATACAGACGAGGGTGAATAGACCCAACAGGTCTAATATCATCAGTGACCTCACGGGATATGAAACCACGTTTAGCCCAAGATAAGAGTTTCTTTTGAAATTTAATTTCTAAAGGAATTGTGCGATCATTTTGTCTCTACAGGACCAAGAGGAAGAAATTTTGTAGTGTCACTAAGAATGCTTTGCATTTTGGAGTCATAATCAGAATGCTCCAATAGGACCATACCAGCCCCTTTATCAGGACGAGTAATAACCAAGTTATTATTTGCTTTTAAAGTCCTGACGGCGGACCGGTGCTGTTGACTCCACTTAGACTCAGAAAGGGCTACAGGAGTTAAAGCATA